AAGCTGCTGTCTCTTCATGCCATATCTTCAAAGGTATATTCCCTCCAGGCAACAGCTTGAAGAAGCTGATGCCTGAGTGCTCTTCAAGGCCCAGGAACATGGCTGTTCAGCCTTGTCACACAGACATTCTCCCTGTCAACACAAAACAGAGCTGGAATCAAAGAATCATAGGTTCATTAAGGTTGGAAAACACCTCTTAGATCATCTAATCCAACCATCCACTGACACACAAAACCCATTACTGAGCACAGAATTTACTTTGAGCCCTGCAAGTTGCAGACAAATGCAGAGCATCAACCAAGCAAACAAGGCATCATTATGGACTGCCTCCCTTGGACCCAAGTGATTCAGTTTGGAACCAGCCAAACGTGCATTTATTCTCTCTGAGACCAGTGAGGGCATGCAGGCAGTGCATGATCTGCTCATTGATCTTCCTGTCTGATCTACATGTGACAAAGGCATAGCAGGAGTTCAACAGTGCAGAGGGATCTAAGCAGAACTGCCTGGGGATTAAGGAGCCAGCTTTCCACAAACCTGTCAGAAATCAAGAGAATTAAGAACTCCTGGGGTTTCACTTTCGCTTTACTCAGAGAGCTTTCTGTTCTTAATTACATTTGGCAGCCACAGCAACCACTTCATTTGGCTTTGTCAGTGCTGAATTCGATTGCATTCAGAAGGGAAAGCAATATGCTGTCCTTAAGAACAAGGCACCTTGGACACGTGTCCAAAGCAGCTATGAACAGGTAGCTTCCTTTGAGAGGAGTTTCAAGGAATAGTTACAGTTCAGGGATGGTGCAGCGCTGTGAAACTCCTCTGGGCACTGAAACTTCTCAGTGGACATCAGCAAAGAATGATCCTTTATTGCCCCCTCTGTCTCTAAACACATCTTCCCTCTGCAATGAAATGAACAGCAAAACAGGGGAACTAAAGGACAACCAAACAGTTTACCTCCTGGTCTTACATCTGCTACAACATCATTTCATTGCTTGGCCTTGAACAGGCTGCTTCAATGCACTGCTCCTGAATGCCCCACTGGCTGAGCAGAGATGCACTGCAGGAAACCTGCGAGGCTGCAAGCAAACCATTACCCTCTGCTGGAGAAAATGGAGCGAGACAACCCATGTCTTACAAGTGCTTTTATACTGGCATTTCACAGAGATTCTCACAAAGTGTCATAGAATTATAGAACGGCCTGGATTGAAAAGGACCTTAAAGATCATCTCGTTTCAACCCCCCTGCTGTGTGCAGGTCACCAACCAGCAGAGCAGGCTGCCCCGACCCACATCCAGCCTGGCCTTGAATGCCTGCAGGGATGGGGCATCCACAGCCTCCTTGGGCAACCTGTTCAGTGCCTCACCACCCTGTGACCCACATTGGAACCCACACTGTTCCATTCTAGAAGTTGCTTTTTTAATCGTATAGCAGATCATGCACAGTAGAGCTTGGGAATGCCTGTCCCTGCCTACTGCCCACCAGCAGTGGAGGACTCCTACCATGCAAGCTCCAGAACAACCACGGTCAGACCAGTCTCCTACTGCACCCAGCCCAGCTTTCAAAGTCTACAAATAGAGAGAATAACTTGGGAAACATTGCTAAAGCAGAGTGGAAACTGAAAAATCTGTATCTCCTCTTTGCAAAGCAGACTGTAGCAGAAAGAGGCTCCTTACAACTCTTGCTCATGGTAGCATCTGGCTAGTACAAAGAAAGGCAGTGAAACTATGAGAAGGGCCCTTGTAGAAAGCCTCAGGATAACACAACATAAAGGAGAATAACCAATGCCTTGTAGAAATTCTCCGAAGTTTCAAGCACAGAGAGAAAAAAAAAAAAAGCATATTTGCAAACTGGGACCTCAAGGCTATAAAACATAGCTCAAGATACAGCAGAGCTCAGCTCCAGGAGCAGCTGAGGTCTGGCACATTTCTGTGACTCTTGTTTCTGCAGCTCTCTGCCTGTCAGAAGTGAGAACTTTTTATCATTCTCTTCCAAAATTTTCCACTGCAACCAAGACCTTGACACATTAAGACAGAAGAAAAAAGCCTGAACAAAATCTCCAGAGAGAAAACACAGAAGAGATTTAGAGCTGCTTTCTATCTAGCATCTCCCTTTACTCCCCTTTCAGCAGCTGGGATTTTAAACACTCAGCATACTTACACGAAGACTGGAGGACAGGAGGGTACACGAAGCACAACAGCAAGGAGATGAGGGCTGACAAGAAAAGCATGAGGGATGCAGGTGTTCTGAGCACAGAGGGTTTATGGATGACTTTTACAGCAGTACACCATCAATTATACTGATGCTGTCTCTGCTGGATTAACTCCTGACGGACAGGAGGCAGCTGGGGAGACAGATTTGCTTTTCTGTCACTGCTGATCAAGACCAGTGTTCCCCTCTTGTTCAAACAGGTTTGCATGGCCTCTGTGCTGCAGTTACCGAGAGCTTCAGAGATCTCTGCTGGACTCTGACAGCCTTTCCTGCTACCCGGGCTTTTTCTTCGGCCCTCCTCATTGGTCAGTGTCACCACTTGTTTGTTGTTTGCAAAGGAGTTTTTATGCTTGCAGATTTCTGTTCCTGCCTCTACAATAATCCTATAATTGTGATGCCAAGTAGCACCTGAGGACAATTTTATCACATTCTGTATTACATGTAAATACCATTACGTTAGATGGATTTTCTCATTAATTCTCCGTCCTGGTGACAAGCCAGGAATTAACACAATTGATTTTCCAGTCTCTGCTCATTATCAATCATCCAAGAACTTAGTCACATCTCATCTGTTCCACCTGGGTCGCAGCATTTATTTGTAGACTTCAACATACATTTAACTAATAAAAACCAACAGGTGTAGCAACCTCTGTGCCCCAGATCTGGACAAGAACAAACCACATGTCTTCCTCATTCCTTTGGTGGTAAAATTCTCACCACAGACCTGTATCCTACAGAGAACAAGCAGTGGGCAGGTAAAGGAACAGCCTGTTGTACACTGGCTGCCATCAAAATCAATGTATACATCCATGCTGCTCTTCAAAAACTTATGGAAAACAACAGTTCATAAGTGCACGTTTCCTAAAGGTGCTCCATTCAGAAGTAATAGAAGTATCCAAGGGACATCCATGATTCAACCCAAACTCTCCCCATTACTGTTTCTTTGGAAAATACCAAAGGCCAAAATGAAGAAGCAGTAAATACACTACAGAGTTCATTCCAGCTCCGGAAGAGGTTCTGTGAGGATGAAAATGGAGAATAAGAACAAGCAGGGGTACAGAACGCAATAACCTCAGTGTGTCACACTGCTTCTCCTGTTCCTGTGGTTCCCACCTGTCCTGCTGTCACACCAAACAAGCAGAAGGAAACATTCCCACGACATGCATGACTTGTGCACTGTACCTTTCCTGATTTCCTTCATTATTATCTCCTGGCTCAGGAGTGGAATTCTGGCACAAACAGATTATTCTGCAGAAAGCTACAGGTATGGCAGACTCTGAAATAGCAGTCTGGCAAATGCAATTGCTCTGTTATGAAGCGGATGTGTCTTCAGCCTAGCCAGCCCCTCACTAGGCCTTTGTATAAAGCAGGCATTCTTTTGGATCGTATCTTCCACCTCTCAGATGTTCTCCTGCTTGTTCCCTACCATACTGCTCCTGGGGATTACATACTGTGTAAACTTAGCTATTCATCTGTAGCTCCAAGAAACAGGGAACCCTGAGAGCCACACGCTCTTTCTCTAAGCAGAAACAAATAGATTGCTGTAGACAATAAATAGTTCAGAATGCCCCTTACTGAGAGCATCTGTTCTTCAGGCACATAAAAGCAAAAGGGGATTCACAGACCAAAACCATCGTGCTCTCTCATCCACTGTGGAAAGTGATGCTTGCTCAGGCCATTATAGGTTAGTAGTGATGAATGACTGAATGATCATTTAACCCTTGCTAGGCATGTGTTGATTTGGATCGTTGCTATTATCATTATAACAAAGCAGCCGTCTTTTATCTACATCTGCAATCCAGCAGGTTTTGTTCCTGTAGACAGTTCCCAGCTCTAAGTCCCATAAATTGATCAAACATGAAATTGTGGAGCAGGAAGAGTGAAGTCTGCTCCCAGGTGTTGGGAGAGCACAGCTTGATGCACCACCCCTGGCACTGAGGAGGGGTTCTGTAAACAACCATACCCTTAAAACCATCAGCTGTATTTGGCTCACTGGAATCCAGAAAGCATTCAAAAGCAGCTCAGGAACTGAATTATCACCAGATAATAATAATCTGTATGGAAGCTACTGAAGGCAAATTCTAATCTTAATTATTAGGTGACTTTTGAAACTTTCAGTGCAGGGAGATGGCACAAGTCTGGAATACTAAGCAGTAAGGGGTTAGAAGGACTCTCACCCTGGTGGATGTTCCTGCAGATAACCTAATCCCGTAGGGTTATGATTTCAAATTCACTCTGTGGGGACAGAGGAACCCAATCCTCCTGATCCTACACAGCCCAGTGCTGCTGCAGCACTGGGCGCAAGAGACAGAAAACCTTTTGGAAGTCATCACAGGAGGAAAACGTGAGGATGCTGCAGCAGTAGGGGGGTCAGGCTCTGACAAATGTGTCTCTGAGCTGTGTTCCTCACGGGCGCTGACACTGGGTGTGCCCTACTCCCACCTGCTGTAGGGCAGCACTGCAAGCACAGAGGATGGTAAGGCTGATTCTCCGCAAGGCGCTGCCCTGGGGCACACTGAGGAGCTCTGGGAGCACTCTGAGGAGTCTCAGAGGGCACTGGGAGGCCTTTAGGACAGCACAGAAAGCAGCTCCAGACCACACATGCAGGCCAAGCACCACTGCAACTCTCTGCTGCCGCCCCCTGAGTAAAAGGCAGCACTGCAGGCAAAGCTCTGCGCATGCGTGTCAGCGCCCCCTACGCGGGCACGCGCAGTGCTCCTTCCTCAGAGCAACATGGCTGCGCCCTGTGCGCGTTCCCGCCTAGGGGCGGCAGCGAAATGAAATAGACGAGACCTCACCTCCCTTCCTTCAGCTCTCGCTGTTTCTCTCCCACCTATCCGTCACTCTTTCCCATTTGGCACTCCCTACCGAGCCGCGGGAACGCACCGGTTGGAATCTCCCAGCGGCCCCGCCATTGGCGCAGCGCTGTGTGAGATCTGCGCGCCCCACCGCATCTCCCGGAAATCGAGTTGCTCCTTTTTAAGCCGCTCTGCGCTGCCAGGCTCTGTAGTATTAGGTCCTCCATGCGATACCACGCATGCGCGCGGAAACGCGGAAGTAGCGCTGCGTACTTTGTGCAATCCAGCTGGCAGCGAGAGCTCGGCGCTATCGCGCATGCGCACACCTGAACTGCGGGGTTGTATGGGGATTGACTTTGAGGCTTGCAGGCTGTATGTGTCTAAAGGAGCTGAATTGCATGAAGAGGCAAATAGGCAGTCAGGGGCCCAAGTGAAATGCCCCTGCACGAAGGCACACATAATGAGTTACAAACGGGAGGAGCTGGCAGCCATTGGAACTTGGTGGGATGAACATTGTTGGGATGCTGAAGTTGATGGCTGTAAACCATCATGCTAGGGAGAAAGGGTGGGAGTTGGATATCAGGACCTGCTCTTGGTGGGCATAACTTAGCAGTTCACTCTTTGTGTTCACTCAACAGTATCCTCATGTGAGAGCGAGATGCGTTGATTCTTTGCCATCCTCATGCTACTCCTATGTTTCTGGGTAAGACTGAAGGCCCCAGAAAGGTGGGTAGAAAGCTGAGTACATTCCCTACATAGAGGCTTGGTTTCAGGTGTCGTGTTTGAGCTATTTATTGGTTGTAGGCAAATGTTTTGCATACATACATGGTCAATTTCTGAAAGTGGGAGAGTGTCATAAAGAGGGGTGTGACTGGCATCCTCAGCCAAGGAGCTGATAACTGGTAGTCCACTGTGAGTTTATTGTATGTCAATAAGGAGTTTAGATTAATGAATTACCAAGGAAATGCTGTGTAAAGGCTTTATAAAGCTTCTCGTGTGGAGATAGACAACTGGACAGTCTGAGTACTAAGAGAAAACCTGAGAGACACAAAGAAAAGGCAGTGTAATACCAAAACAGGAGAAAAGATATTCAGGTTAGAAGAGGCTGTTCTTTGCAGGTACTATGAGAGGCTTGCTGTCCTTCACAGTCCTTGCACTTCTTTTGCTGGTGCACAGCTCCCAGGCAGTCTATGTCCAGGTGAGTTTTCTGCTGGTTATCTTGTTGGTATTGCAAGCTCAGTGATGTACTGATGTGAAGAGGTGTAAGTAAGATAGGAGTCTTGCTCTGAATTGATAAAGCTGGATTTTTGCTTTGCTCTGACATCATCTCCCCGTGGTTTAGTCTTTCTCTCTGTAAAATGGTTCAGGTGTTTGTAACATAAAACTCTTCTAGAGAACTCCATAGGTTATGAAGTTACATGAACTGGGGAGAAAGTGTTCTGCTTGTTTCTAAGCATGAAGTTCTTTATGAAAATGACCTGCAAACTTATGTGATAGAGCCTACAAATGTGTCACATATAAAAATAAGGTGAAAGAAATGACTGGTTTGATCTGAAGGAATATTGATGGGTTGTGGTGATATTAAAGGAATGTTAGTGTACTGATGGTGGGGATGAGTTGATGGTTGGATGGGATGATCTTAGTGGTCTTTTCCAACGCTAATGACTCTATGATTGTGTGATAGAGGAGACTAATACCAAATACTCCAGAGTACACAGAACCTATGATTGGCATTACATGCACTGTGGAAGCAGGTAGGAAGGTGTCAGCACTTCTGTCTGTACACAAGAGTATGTTAGATTTGTCTGTGCTGATCCTTAGGAGTAGTTTGGGAGATTTCATTTTGATTACAGTGTAAATAATTTCCCTGGTGTTCCAAGAGGGCAAATATTTCTTAAACAATAATTGACTCTTTTCATGTGTGCTTAGTAGGTTTCCAAGGAGTGAAAAGATCCCATCCTTGTGCAGGTTTCACCTCCTCTTTTCTTCCCAACCATTCATTAACACCAAGAGTCCCCAGACAGAACAGATAGTTTACTATTTCACAGGGGGAAGGAGAAGGGTAAAGCAACAATTTTCCACTTGAGACTACAGAAAATAGCTGAGAACATCTTCTGGGTGGGTAGCAAAGTATTCAGTTCTGAAGTTTTAGTTCCTATTTGTAGTTGGAATGCTTATCTCATTAATCACTAAATTCATATTTTCTCTGCCTTTGATAAGACCTGAAAAACGTGCAGTGTGCTGTGTGTGATGCGCTCCTTTGACTTGGATTGCTTGATTTCCCTTAGGATCTGACTAATTACTCACTGAACAAAGTTGCTTTATAAACTTGCTTTCTGAAATTCTTCCCAAGACTTTTCTTCCCTCTTCTGTAATAAGTAAGTCACAGGGGTTATTAATTTAACAAAATGTTCTGAGAGCTGCAAGGGAGGTTCGTTTGACTTCGTAGAGTGTTCCTAAGGGCTGAATATCACTATCTGGACACTCTCTTGGTTTGCAAAGTGTGCAAAACTGGAAAAAAGTAGAGAGGGATTGTGGTAAAATCTGTCAGTTCAGTAGAACAGCATGCATTTTCACCTTGGAGGGAAGATGCTGCTCATGTTGTGTTCTCTCTAGCACACCTTTCTTGTCTGAGATGGTGGTGGTATTTTTGGTTTTTTGGGTGGTTTGTTTGTGGGTCTGATTTGTCACCAGGACATAAACACGTCTCAGGGTTCATTCCTACTGTGAAGTGATAATAAGTAGGAGAAATCCAATGCGCAAAAGACCAAATGAAGCTCACTTCAATTGTTTCTGGTTTCTCTGGAACTGTGCTGGTGGAAATCCTGTCTTTTTTGTTTCTGTTTCATGCTTTTAGAGTCTCCAACCAATAGATGAATTTAGAATTGTGTCTTTGGTGGAATAGTACATTTTTCACAGGCATCCATTCTGATAAATTATTTTGAGAAAAGTCACAAATTGATCAGAAGTAGAAAATAGTTTTACTTTGTTAAATAAATGCATGTACACAGAAGCTCATTTATTCTTCTTTAAGCACCACCACCGCCCAAAGACACCCACACAATTCAACATCAAGCTAATGAGACTTTGAGATTAATGGCAATAATAGCAGACTCAATCCGCTTTATTTCTATGACTATTTAGGTGTTACTTGATCATCCTTCTGACTATTTAATTCTCTTCAGACTTCTGTGGACATTTATGTACTTACCTTAAACAATTACTAGACTTGCAGTTTAAGTTTATTATCTCAACAGTGTGATTCACTTGAAACTGGGAGGAAATTGACATTAATGCGTGGGGTCTAACAATTTCAAGCATGGAGCAAACCTTTCCAGAATAATCTTCTGGTCTCCCAAAGCCTTGGTGTGATCTTTCAGTTAGAAGTGCCACATTTAGCAGTTCTCAGTCATTTGTGCTCCATTGTGTGGGCAAATCGTAGATTCATGCTCACCACGTCTTGTGGTGATGGGATTCATCCTCTTCTGTGTTTTGAGCATTGCACTTGAGCGCCAAGATTCAAAGTTCTGTGCTGGTATATTACAAGAAAGAGTGAACAAAATAAATCCCCATTCACATCCATTCAACTCATGGTGTTGTAAATCTCTACCACGTATTGTCCAATCGTTTGTTTCCTAGACTGAAGAGTCCCAGCCCTTATCTTCCTACACTAGATGTTAGGAGTCTCCCTCACAGGAGTGAAAGATGTACTAATTCTGCCTCCATTCACTATGATGCTTAAACAAAACCCTGGCTATGGAGGCTCACTGTTATAGTATCGTTTTTCCCTATAGTACAGTTTTTTGGGGAAGGGTCACAGTTTAGCAGAGTTCAGTCAAAAGGGAATGCATTTGCCTGAAGTCTGACTCTCTCATATCTGTTTTTTCCTTTTCTGTCTATGTAGGATGGCGACTTGACATTCTCCCTTGAATCTGTGAAGAAGCTAAAGGAGCTTATGGATGAGAACAGAGTCATTAACCCTCGCATGGTGGTTTATAAGGCTGGGTATTCTCTATGTGAAGATAAAGATCTCCCTGAGGTTTTCCAACCTGTGTGTAAAAGGGAAGATGCACCTATGATTTTCGAGAGGCTGTGTATGTAGTTCATGTTGCATAGTTTCCTTTTTATCACACCTTTCAACCTCAAACATTGAAATAGTAGCAGCCAAAGAAGTGTAATTACTGTTGTGTCGCTTCTGAGGCAGCTGGAAGTCCATGCTGCCACCCCTTCTGCAAGGGTACAACAGCTGTGGGCCCACCAGGACACTCCTATAGTGCTTAGCTGTAACCTGTACAGATCAGTCTGTTGTAGACATGAAAAGGCTTCCTCCTATTGGAGATGTATTTCCAGGTTCCTTAAAAGAAGTGTGAGATGTAGGTGAAGTGAATCAGCCTTTGGCATTACCTGTCTCCAAGGCACATATTCTTGAATAGGCTCCTACAGTATCTACTTTTTATCTATTTATTATGTTGTGTTTACCAATGCCATGGAAAACTCAGGAAGAAGTAGCACCAATATAACTGAGGTTGTGGTTCTGCAAGCCACTTCAGAGGATCTAAGGCCACATCCTTGTCACCCGCTCATAATATGTCCTGTTGTTTTCTTGCCTCCATATCTTCCGCTTCTTTCCCCAGTGAGTTCAGATTTGATTTAAATACTTAATTTTCTCAAAAACTAGTTTTTCTTGTATCAGTAATAACTTCAGTGTACACAAAAAATTATGGAACAGTAACAGAAAGAAGTCTTTCACCACATGGTTTAAGGCTCTGCTCTCCAATAAATTCCTTTGCCTTGTCACTAAAACAGTCTCTTTTCTCCCTAACAGACTTGATTGCCGGTGAAGCTGATTTGTGTGAAATCTGTGCCAATGCTGCCTGCTCTGGTTGCTTTTGAATAAGGATGAAACACTCCAAAAACAGTGTGCCAAGCTAGGAAGTTTGTGCATTTGTATTGCAAGATCACATACCCTCACAAATCACTATTTAGGCTTCGTCTTCACCACAGTCAAACTGAAGCTGTTAGCTCATGTAGACATACTAAGGGTAATTTTGAAGTAGTGAGATCACATAATACCAGCAATGCAGTTCTGGTAACAGGAAGACCAAACTTCATGTGAGAAGCTGAAGAACCATGAAGAAAGAGGCTCACACTGAGCGTTGTCTTGCCTTGAGCCATGCCTGAGTTGTGCATCTGTCTATGTGAGCTGTGTTGTGGTTGACTGGAGTGAAAATATCCTGGACTCGATGTTTCAATTTCCATTAATCTGTCTGGATTGGAGCACAATGGGTCAAACTGAG